CCCCCCGCGCTACGCGCTGTTCTATATCTTTCAGTAGTCCAACAACCTGATCGTATAAGCGATAATGCGAACAGATGGTACGAACATCACACAAGCATCTCGTCAAATAAAAACGTAGAAATAATAATCAGTGGATGCGCGCGGGCCCCACCAACAAGCGGAGATATAGATAAAGAGAGATTAAGAGAGGGAGATGGAGAGGGATGGAGAGAGAGAGAGAGAGAGGGAGAGAGAGAGAGAGAGAGAGAGAGAGAGAGAGAGAGAGAGAGAGAGAGAGAGAGAGAGAGAAATGCGAAATTCTCCTAAAAGTAAGTTGGGCTTTCCTATGACTCACCTTTTCGACGACACCTGAACACTTCAAAGATGAGATGCCACAACAGTTGCACCCCTATCCACACACCTAAGGCAACGAAGCCAAAAAAGCGCATGTCCTTGGTGATGTAGTCAATGTCAAAGCCCAGGAACATTGTGGCAGCTGCAACACAAAAGACAGTTTTTTTTTGTTTGATTGTTTGTTTGGGGTTGTTGTTGTTTTGTTGGGGGTTTTTTTTTTGGGGGGGGGGTTGTTTGTTTGTTTTAGTAAGGTTTTTCGGCGCTCCCAACTGCATAAGGTCATATGGGCGTCGAGGAGTTGATGTCAATAGAGTATCCCTAACTGGGAATCAGGGTTAAGCCTCTCAAACCTCAACAGCACAAAGTCTGCTTCGACTACCAAGGCCCTCCGGAAATACCAAGTCACAAGAGAGTGATAAACATACAAAAGAAGTAGAGGGAAAATGACGATAGTAAGGATGAGGAAAGAAAAAGCAGCAGTTGCCCCTATGTTGTTCCAGCACAGTATGTGTATGACATTGATAAATCAGCCCATTTACATTTCAACTGTGCATAAGAACATGTTAATATCCCCCCTTTGGGAATAGCCTAAAGACAACTTCAGTCAGTAGCACTACCCTGAAGGTGGGTTACACAAAAGACAACAAATATAATGTGTTTATGGTTGAAGGTAAGTACCACTGTCGAAACTGCGGTGACGACTACCTGCCCAAGACAATCACCTGTAAAAAAGACTACCCCCCCCCCAACATAGAGTCTTGGTTTTTTAATATACTAATGACACTACCAACAAGATCACCTGTCTAAGATAACCCATCTTCTCCTCGACAATGGGTGGTCGCCTTCGACAAAGTTTGACTTGTTTTCTTGTCCTTTTTCTTTCAAAATTAGGTCCGAACCACATGATTTTCATAATCCTTACAAAGTCAAGCACTCATTTAATGTTGCAAGTATGCATCATATACACACTGTGGGGGTGGTTAGGGGGAGGTACCAAAAAGTGGAAGGGCTACTGAAATTTGGGGATTTTTTCACTCCTTTGAAGATGCAAAACTTAAATCTATATATATAATCTAGAGCAAGAATGATCAGAACCAGCCAGTTGCATAAGCTATGGGTTTGTAGAACATGTTTCCATCAAATAAAAGACGTCATTTGAATACTTGAGACAACTTGGTTACTTTTTAGAACCGAGTGCTAGGTATTATTTATTGAGTGACATTCAACATTAAGTTGGTCTGTACTTTTTCCTTTTCGTCGTCTTTGAAAGTGGTTTTTTAAATTCACTTATTCTTACTTTTTTATGTGTGGGGATGGGGCTAATTGTAGTTTTAATTTCACCTTTTCTTTTTCTGTTTCCTTTTCCCTAATGGGAAACTGGTGGGGAAGAACCACCCTGGAGTTTTAGATTCCTTTGAGCTTAAAATGACATTGATCTTTTTGTCTTGAACTCGTCACGTGATGATTTACGTAAAATCCGAAAAACTTCAATTTAAATCAAATACTTAGTTATATTCTGACACCCACACCCACAGATAAGTAAATCAGTCACTCAATCAATCAATCAATCAATCAATCAATCAATCAATCAATCAATCAATCAATATAAATAAATAAATAAATAAATAAATAGTAAACTAAAACACACACACACACACACACACACACACACACACACACACACACACACACACACACACGCCGCGTACACACAGAAAATCCCCTTCTCACCCGCCAAAATATGAGAAGCCTGGCCCAACAGTCGGTGGCCCCAGTTAAATAGCGGTCTGAGCTTGCTGTCGGAGCCAGGACGGAAGAAGCCGGCTATGACTTGGACACCCACGGAAGCTGTTACAGCCAGGCCCACGTAAGCATGGGGTATAGCAGTCTGGAGAATAGAGAGAATAGATCTTTTTTTTATCTCTGTTACTACCGTACAAGACTAAGGTTGGTTATTTCCACTGTTGAATACTTGGCTCAGTGTCAGAAAACAACAGACGGAAGAATAAAATCGAGACTGAAGGCAGATATGACAAAATGTAGTAAAATCACATATCGGCACGTCAGATCATAACAGACAGTCCATACTAGAGAACTGTTTCATCCCTCTCGCTCTCTCTCTCTCTCTCTCTCTCTCTCTCTCTCTCTCTCTCTCTCTCTCTCGCTCGCTCGCTCGCTCTCTCGCTCTCTCTCTCTCTCTCGCTCTCTCTTTCTCTCTCTTTCTCTTTCTCTCTCTCCCTCGCTCTCTCTCTCTCTCTCTCTCTCTCTCTCTCTCTCTCTCTCTCTCTCTCTCTCTCTCTCTCATATGTATATCTGCGAGGACAAACGAGCCAGTCAGAGAAAAACAGCACATCTTCTAGTGACGGTTTTGGTTTCTTGCAATGCACTTGTAAGGCGTGAGTTCGATTTCTGTGTCCGGAAGATTTGTTTTTCAGTAAGTCTCTTCATCCTTCTTTCTGAATGCTGCATCCCTTGAATCAGTTTGGCCAAAGCATTTAGGACGAAGAAGCATACCTCCTAGATACCTAAATTGTGTTGACGGGGTATGAGACACTTACAATAATGTCACAACTTTTACTTTTACAATATCATCTGAATCAGAAGTTGTCCATTAATTGAAGTGTAGCTTTTGGCTCAATACTACTCTTCCCGTGAGTGGGTTAGTTA